GCTGTTGGTGAGTCTAGTCTGTTCATGTCAAGTCTGTTCATGCCTCGTCAAGTCAAGTCTGTTCATGTCAAGTCAAGTCTCGGATTATTGTTTGGATGTTTGGATCACACTGTAAATAAACTGCACTTGGGTTCTTCACTACTCTCGCCTTCAGTGGACTGATTCATTACAGAAGTACAACATATTATTTACTATTCGGACCCAATTCCCAACAATATTGCACACTTTATATGACATTACATACTTAACATGTCTCAAATGAAGACATCAGAAAAACTACTTGAAATCAGATTTGATCATTTGGAATGAGAATCTTATTTAAATCGGATTTCAAACCACATATGGACCAGGTTTAATCGGATTTCAAACATAATTGCATGTAGATTTGCAAATATATTAGATTTAATGTATTTGTTTTGGGGGGGGCTGTTCAGCCTATAAAAGCTAAACAGGTTTGAGCTGGATGAAGTAAAAATTTGATTTTTGCTCCCTGTCTGAACAAAGCCTCTGTAACTTGTTCAGGACAATAATGTCATCAAGTCTAAAATGTGACAACCTCAAAGGTTTTTGGCAGACAGGAGATCTATGAATGTTAATTGGGACCGAATGAAGCATGTCTGTCTTAACATTACAGCCTCTCCCCAGGGTACGATAAACGTGAGCTGCCATATGCCCAATCAGTGCAAGAAGGACTCACATAGGACCAAAAGGTCATGAAGATCAGTGTGCGCCGAAGAAAAGACCAAAGTGTCTAACCTTTTCATAATAGGTGACTTCATATTCCACCACGGTCCCATCGTTAGGTTCTGGACCCTGCCATGCCAGCGTTACACTGTCGGTGCCCTTCCTTTCCTTTAAGATGACGCTCACTGAAAAAGAAAGAGAGAGATGAATTGAGATTGATTTCCATGTAAAAGAGGAGGATTAATTACACTTCTAATTAAAGAGTATGAGAGGGCTGGCAGAGCGCGTCTTGTCTTTTTTGGGAGTGATAAATTATTCTGTGAGTCATTTTCACCCCGTACTACATAGCTGGCACACAGCCAGAGCACCTCAGCCCTTCCATTCGTACAACAGCAGTGTTCACAAGCCGCCCTGAGTGGAAAGAGAGAGAGAGACAGAGGTGCTAATGATGGTGTCAGATTGTGAGTACAAACGAGGGCCTCCCATTTTGGGCCCCGGCAGCTAGTGATGAATGAAGGAGCTGAGGATTCGATCTTTAATGAGCTGTGTGAGTCTTAACTCAGCGTGCTCTGATCTGCCGTGCGGCGCTGACACAGTGACACCGCTAACTGCAGTATGCACACAAACACTCTTAAAGTGATAAACAAACAGCTACGCTGATATCTCAGCATGTGTTTGGTTCACAGATAAAGAACAGACATGCTTCAATTCAGAGTAATGAAAAGAAAAGGGTCTCAAAATATCACAGGAAATTATGTAGAAGGTGAGTTAAACCATTAAAAACAGGACAATAACACATTTATATACAGACTATATGATCTGACCATTATGTGAACAACTCAATCTAAATATAAATATGGTCAGTATGTAATAATAATAATAATAAGCTGATAAAACTTGATCCTTTTTTGCCTTTTGCACTAAAATTTGGGGTCAGTAAGATTTTTCATGTTTTTGAAAGAAGTCTCTTATGTTCACCAAGGCTGCATTTATTCAATCAAAACTATTTAAAACAACGGTTTTCTATTTGAATATATTTTAAAATGTAATTTATTCCTGTGATGACAAAGCTGAATTTTCAGTATCATTACTCCAGTCTTCAGTGTCACACTTCAGAAATCATTCTAATATGTTGATTTGGTGCTCAAGAAACATTTCTTATCATCAATGCGAAAAACAGTTGTACTGCTTAATATTTTTTTGGAAACTGATGCAGTTTCAGGATTATTTAGGAGAGAATTTATTTGAAATAGTTTTTTGTAACATTATAAAAGTCCTGAATGCCATTTTTGATCAATTTAATGCGTCCTGATCTTACTGATCCCACAATTTTAAACAGTAATGTATATTGCACTAATTTCAAATTTTTTAAATTAATAGCGTGAATTTCGATTTCATGTTGTCTTCAACAGAGAAGATCAATGTAAATACTTCCTGTATCAACTAACTTGCATTATATATTCATATATGTAGCATTAAAACACTCTGCAGTTCTTGTCATGAATGAATCTGTCAGCTTTATTTGATGTATTCGTCACTTTGTCTCCACACAACTTGCATTTATAAATATTCTGTTTGCAATCTTTCGCACACCTGCCGATGAAAGATGAGCGCTGAAATATCAGTCAATATCCGCATCATGCGAAGCATGCAAATACAAGCACTACATCATCCCAGACACGGTGGATTGTCTCTGTATATATATTGTGACGAGCGTCCCGAAGCTTCATCAGCGTCACCCAGGAAACAAGCGAGGAACACCGGCTCCCGTCCTCGTCATATATATTGAATTAGCCTTCAGACACCAGCTTTGAAAATCAGAGGCTACTAATAAACAGAAAAATCGTTTATTGGAGAAACACAGAATGTAGACGTGTGACATCTCACCTGTCTGGCTGGTGGTGACGTTGACGGACACTAGTTGACGTGGACTGGGGCTGAGGTCTGACACTCCGTTAAGGGCTTCAATGCTGAAGGTGTAATTGGTGTGAGGCTGCAGTTCTGTGACCAGAACTCTGGGGTGTGTCAAGCCAAACTGCCTGGGGTTGAAATGTGGACCGCTGCCACAGGGAACGCACCTCTCACTGTCTCCCGCAGCCCCTGCTTCTCCAGAGCACTTCCTGCAGTGGACACTGTAGGTGACATCTCCACGTCCACCACTTTCACGAGGGAGACTCCATTCTAGAGTGACTGCAGTCTCGTTCACCATGGAAATAGGATTGCCGGGTGCTGAAGGTGGTCCTGATGAAAGCACACACCAGTAAAGCACATCAATTATGCACTTATCCAAATAAAATCATGACAATAAAATCAACACAATAATGGACTGGATGTTTCAATGCTTTATTTTTATTAATATTTAAGAAGCCACAAAGACCCTGCTTACTTGTGCACGCCATAGAGCGAGGGTCTGATTCGGCCCTGTAGAAGCCTCTCTCACACACACACTCTGAGGCCTTGTCCTGGTGGGAGTAGCTGTGTGGGGGGCACTTCACGCAGTACGCATCCATAGCGGAGGCCTTGTAGAAACCTGACCGACATGCTATTGAAGAAGAAGAATTTTTTTTTTCATTTAATTATTTATATACAGAAATATTTGCATTATAATAAATTACATAAATTATAAATGATATATAAAAAGTATAGATTATAAGTAAATATATATATATATATTAGAAAATAAAAATGAATAAATGATATATAAAAAGTATAGATTATAAGTAAATATATATATATATATTAGAAAATAAAAATGAATAAATGATATATAAAAAGTATAGATTATAAGTAAATATATATATATATATATTAGA